ATATATATTTCACCATGATATACCACTAATGTATAATGTATGGCTTGTGTGCAAGATCCATAGAAAATTTTCATACAATATTTGATCTCCGTACAAAATGTGCCAACTTTTCTCTGGCAGTTTTCATTAGAACAATTTCACAAATCCCTTTCTCTCTCCCCTCCATTATTAGTGCTATCTATAAGTAGGGACTTTAAACAGTTTCAAGTACTTTCCAATTCTAAACTAATATTTTGCAATCTCAATTAAAGTTTTTGCAAACTTTAATATATGTGGACTTCAACTCCCAGAATTCCCCAGCCAGCATGGGAATTCTGGGAGTTGAAGCCCGCACATCTCAAAGTTAATGAGGTTTAAAAACTGATCATGGTTCAGACATGTGGCTTCTGTAGAAGAAGGAAGGTTAAGTCTTTTTTTCACAGGGACTTGTTTTGTTCCAGGCGACAGATGTCTGCTTCATACAGGTGAATACTGTGGCATTAATGTGCAGAAAAAGAAGAGTGTTGGCTGGAACCAGAATAAATATCATAATACATTTACCCAAACAATTTAACCAGGTGTAATCTGTCATGTAATCAGTCATTCTTTTTTTAGTCTTTGTACTAAAAGAGGCCCACAAAATCTCTTTTGAGAAATTTCGTTAATGCTTTGGTTTCTTGTCCAATCTTGTTCCATTATACATTCAAATACAACTTTCAACTGTTTTGCTTGATGTTTTATGACCAATGGAAACACAGCATAACTGTTTATAGAAGAATGTGGCATACGTATTGCTGCATTTGATCAACATTCCTCTGTTTCTGCTAAAGAGAACTGCAGACCAAAATATTTCCCTTTCCTCATTTTGTTTTGTTCTTACTTTGTTATCAGGGTACAATCTCATGATATATCAGCTCTCACAATGATAACACCACGATTGTAGATCATTTCACCACTACACTGCATGATTTCAACTGATAATTTTAGGTTGTAGAATTTGCTGGGAAAACCTCCCAAATCCCAGCTCGAAGCTGCACACATTCTAAGGCTCAAATGTACTGTATGACATCCAGGCAAAACCTTTTGTCAAGATCAAAGCAAATATTTTAGGGGGAAGTTGAGAGGAGAAAGATTTGTGATGCTAAACTGGAGGTGGGAGAAATCCAGGCACCACGTGCTACCTACGTCAATTGTGCCATAATGGCACCCTGTCAACTCTTACTTTCTTTTCCTTGTCTTAATGATGATCCCCAGGCCATGAGTGATGCAATCTGAAACCACCATGAGCTGTACCAATATTAAGGTAGAATTTTTCTTCTCTTTTATTTTACCCAGGATAAAAATGATTGAACATTTTATATTGAAAAATAACATAGATTTGGATGATTTGCTGGTTTGTTAAAGATAGAAAATGTCAACATGCTTAATATTTTTTTAGTCCTTTGAGCTAGAATTAAGGAAATAAATGCCTTACCAGAAAGAAAAATTAATCAGTGGAACAGCTTGCCTCGAAAAGTTGTGGGTGTGCCATCACTGGAAAGTTTTTAAGAAGAGATTGAACAGACTTTTGTCCTAAATAGTATAAGGTCGCTTTCTCAAGCAAGGAGTTGGACAAGACATACAAGGTCCCTTCCAACTCTTGTTATTCTGTATTATTAGCTGTTGAGCAAGTAAGTCATATGAACATAGCACAACCAGATCACTAATGTCTAACACATCTGTTTTATTGTTTCTGAAGACTGATATTTTCCTGGCTGGGACTCTACAACTCTTCTGCTCCCCATGACCTTGGTGATTACCCTATAGGAAGGATACTAGATGTTTGTTTGCTCTCAAATGATTCTTATTGCATTCGGTAGAATCTGTGACAAACATCGTTTGCATCTGATGCAAAATAACAGTAGCCTGGTGATGGCTTTATGCAAATGCTATGATTACAAATTGCTGTCATGACATCTGATAGAAATATCATTTCATGCCTGTCTTTAACCCCTTCATTGCGTTTTCTTACATACTTATAGTACATATAGACCTTTAAGCCATTAAACATTTTTTTAAAATATGGTGCTATCCCAAAAACAAAAATATAAACATCTACTGAAGCAGTGAAAAGGTAAAGCCGTGATTAGGCAATTGACGACACAAGAACAGAAAACAATTGTTTATAGTGGATAAAACTCATTGCTTCATATTCACAAGAATATTAAGAAATTAAAATTTTAATTAAAAATAAGCGGTCTCTTCTACGTTTCTGCTTCACATAGTTCCCTACATGTAACAGTTTTAGTATTCTTCTAGTTGGATTTTTTTTTAGTAGAAAAATGTTTGATGTGTTCTTCAGTGTATACCAAAGTGTGCTAGCAAAGACATCTTGCAAATCCTATTAGTAGACTGTCATCTAGTGGCAAATAGAAAGCTATTTCTTCACTGTGGAAGAAATGCTGGGAGCTGTAATTCAACATTTTCTTCATAGTCAAAATCCCTCCCCTGGATTCTCAAGTTTAATTAGAAAAAATAATCTCTAATGCAGTTTTCTTACTTATGGACTAAAGTGAGCAAGTAAGTCTTCCAACTGTTCATTAGTGGGGAAAAGACATAATTATTGTGGCCAATGACTGCAAAGGATATTTGATAAGACCAGGTCATTAACTGCCTTATAATTATCTTTATTAAATCTTAATGCAATTAACATAGTCATCTTTATGTTTAAATTCTGTTCTGTGTCTATTATCCTGTCCCCACAAGCTTGTTCTCTGTGGGCTTCAAGATTTTTTTAAAATGACATATTAATTTGTTGAGCCAGAGAACCATAATGGATGTTTCTAGTAGCAAACAGGAGTACAAGTGTAAATGTGTGATCTTTTATTTTCTGGTTTTAGTTATTTTAGACCTGCAAACACTAGCCTGATATGGTATGCTGTCAGCTGTATATCTTTCCTATCTCCATTAAAAATAGAAATAAATTAAGAAAGCTTAGAAAGTTAGATGCTTGAAGTGGGGCAGGGATTGTGTGCATGCTATTTCAACATAGGAAATTACCATGTAAATTGAAAATAAAAATAGCCCATAGAAACTGAGGAGGTAGAATTCTGTAGAGGAAATGGATACCCTGAACAGTAAGCATAGTATTTTAAGAATGTTATGTAAACTGCAATTTAGAACAGGTGTGGGCAGATACATGTGGTGCGTATGCAATTATCAGCAAGGATGTTGTCAGCAACAACAAAATGATTTGTTTCCTATATATGTTATGAATCAGAATGCAGGAGCTGGAAGACTAGCTTCTATTCAAGGCTGCAAGCAAATTCCTGGTTGTACAATTCTTTAATTCGTTGTGTGTACTTACACCAAACCCCATGACTAAAAAAGGATCCTACAGATATGAAGTCTGCCGATATCTAGATATCTCTAGCTCTTAGAAGAAAAACCTTTGCTTGCATAAAAGAATGATTGTGGTTATTGACACAAAACCACTCCCAGACTTGCATAGAAATTTATATATTTGTTTCCTATTAACAGTGTGATAGTTGAACAGCTTCCTAAAGCATACCATCTTCATCAACGATTTTAGTACCACATAATTCATTGCCCTTCCAGCACAATAATCTCGACAGCAGTTGACCCCATTTAGTGATATTGACTTAAATCACATCCACAAATGAGCCAGATCCAAATTATATCATTTTTTCCACTCCTTACTGACACATCCAGGAGCGACCTCATGATTTATTCAAGTTATACTTCACCAACCCAATGGCAGAAGTGAAAGTATGGACACAACTTCTACTCGTCTCTATTATGGAGATAAGAGCAAAGAAGGATGGCACAATTTCAGAATGGTGTCTTTATCTGAAGAAACAATGGCTTTTCTTACAGAGTTAGAGTCTCTTTGAAGAGTTTCTCTTATCTTTCACGACCGGATGGACTTTTGACTCTTCTTCTCAGATAAACCTACAAATCTCTTCACTCTCGCTTTTCTAGTCCCTCACATTCCCTTTGCTCCTGGTCCACCTCTTTTACCATGCTGCTATTTGTTTAAATAAGAGCGTGGCATGGTCCATGTGAATTGGAAAGAGAAATTACTTTGTATATAAGTTTTAAAGTTAAATAGGATAATAAACTGAAGTAGTGTTGATAATGAAATGCTGGGGTCAGCTCTATATAGAGGAATTCAGAGCTCAGCAATTGGTAATTATAGAAAAAAAAAGTTGTTTTAAATAAAAGTGCTGTTCCCAAGTTTTTCCACACTTTGACTTGTTATAACACAATGTGGTTTAAGAAAAACAAAGCAATGTTTAGACAAAAGCTTGGTGTGATGCCCTGAATTGGATGCAACAGAGGCAGGGTAGGCATCAGCAATGAGCAGACTTTGTGCAGTATTTTCCTCAAGGATGAAAGGAAAAACTTTACAATGCAAGAGAAGTGAAAGGACATCTAACCTTCATAACCTTGAAGAAAGCTTTGGGGACCAGAGTTAAGAATTAAAAGCAGGTTTTTGAGGTTCAGATTTAGTTCAGAAACCCGAATGGCCTTCTATAACAATGGCTTCATGAAAGTGATAGTCTTAAGAAAATACAATAGAAACATTATAAACAAATATAAATCTGAGTTAATTAACGGTTATAAATGCTGATATATTACTCTGCAGCAATGCAACACATCAGCATTTATAACTGCTGATTATAACTTAGTCCAAGGAGAAACATTCAAACCAAGAAACCTCAAACTATTGTTTAAAAAAACAAACCTTAATGCATGTGTTTGAATTTTAATAGTGACCTTCCATTTGATTCAGATTCACTATTCACTAATTTTAATAGTAATATTTTGAACAGAAAACAAGTCTTGCTAGTTTCAACATTCATTGTCTTTGAGCAGTTCCTGAAATGTTTAAATGGTATTTCAGAAGATGCCTCTCCTGTTAGAAGATGTTATTTGAAGAGTAACTAGGAGGCAATAATGACTTGTTAAGAAAACATCAGAATTTGACAAAAGATTGTTTAATGAGGTATTCAGCAGGGTAGTAAAAAGTTGTATATTTTATTTTTTGTTTGTAAAAAAAAATTTACACATGCAGACTAAAACCAGTGTAAGAAAGTACCCACCATTATCTTAAACAAATAACTATACTTAAATAGAAATGTCTGCAATGTTTGTATAAAAATAAGATACATTTGTACAGAAACAGATCTCCAGTTTTCATATTGATACCACAATCCTAAACACATACAATTTAACCTGATTATTGTTTCAAATTAGATGATACTGCTAAGGTATTTTATGTGCAAACATTCAACATTTTTTTGAACGTGTCTTACATTCTTGGACATACTGGGCTTCAAATTTAAATCCTAATTGACTTCAAGTTTCAAAGAGTCCCAATACCTTGTATAACATCCAAACAAAGGTAATAAGCAATGCACCCACATTCAGCGCCTGTGCCTGCTGTGTCCTGATCGACCAGCACCATGGTGCTTGCTTTTATGTGATCTCTCAAACGAACGAGACCTTTCTCGCCTTTCTCTGTGGTGTCCTCGCTCGTGCCTGTGTTTCTTAACGAGGTCTGAATGGTCCCTAGATTTGCTCTGAGAACGTGAACGAGACTTTTTCCGCTTGTGACTGTGTCTGTTTACTCCTTTCAGTTCTTCTCTGCTGTGCTTTGGTTTTAGATGGGGTGATCCGTGATTATGGTGTCTTCGAGGGCTGCCACTGTGACTACGTGATCTGCTTCTGGATCTTGAGCTGTAGGTTCCCGAGAGACTCCGTCTATTGTTGTAACTGAAAACACAACATTATGGCCTTTCAGCTTGTTATGCAAAATACAGCACTGGATTAACATTTTGTTAAACATTTATCGTTTACGTTTCTGAAATTACTTCTACCAGGCTACTCCCGCTATGTTTGTTTGCAAAACAATTACAACAAAATAGAAAATTAGGAAGTCCAGTCTGCAATAGTTTGATATGCAAAACTACTGAATACTATTATGCTATCATTTAAGGGACAATCCCACTGCTACAGAGGATCCTAGAAGAATATTGTGTATTTCATGTAATATTTCTTTTTAGGGAACTCAATTCAGCTTTCAAGCCTGCAGTGAAACTTCATGAGGGTGTAGGAGATCAAAAAGTAAGCTAATTTGCAGCAAAATATATTTGAACAACTTCAGTTACCTAGGAAAAGGGGCACTGCTGGCAGGGTGCCTGAATTAGCATGGCACAGCTTTTTAGGCTTATATACTGCCCCATAGTCTTTACAGCATTCTCTGGACAGTCCATAATATACAAGTGCTGATATACTGCTAATGCACAAGTATACTGCTTGCATACTGTTCCCAACAATCTGGATTGCCATGTTACTGATCTTTGAAGGATAGACGGCTGAATCAACCAGTAGGGATCGAACTCAAGGCTGTGTGTGGGAAGAGTTTGCCTGCAATTCTGAACTTTAATAATAATTGCACCACCAGGGTTCTTAAGTAGAAAAGAAAGGTACCAGGGAAATTGGGATTGGGCGTACTGGTGAAGCTACTGGCACTGGCAAGGAGGGGAAATGGAAAGCACTGGAAAAATTGATGATTGCACTAAGGTATAGGGCACACAGATGAATGGGGAAAATGTGTGAGATACACCTGCCCTGCCCTATTTGTCTGCGGTGATACCTTCAGATAGTAGATTTCTTTTATCTGAAACCCAAATTGTGCTGGATTTTAGATCTCAGCTGCAACCCTCCTGGGATACTTCAGTTGAAATTACAAAACACTGATCTGTTGATTTGCAGGACCAAAGTCAGAATAACATTCCCTAATTGTTCTCAAAGCATTCACAACATGAATTACACTGTTAATCTTCCTGAAGTATTATGCAGTAAAATAAAAGTAATTTTAAATAAAATCGTAAGATATGAAGTAATAATTTAAAAAAAAACTTACTGTCTCCTTGGAGAGTGAGACCTGGATCGTGATTTTGTTCTTGACTTTGATCGGCTACCACTTCTACTGCTTCTGCTTCGCTTGCTCTCTTTTCTCATTCTGGTAAGGGGGAAAAAGGAATTACTACATAGGCTGTAACAATTAAGTTGCTTTAAATGAGTTAGCATGGGACCAAACTTATTATAAGACTGTTACTTCTAGGTATGAGGAAAATAATTTGTGCTGAAATCATTCATTAGAGCAGAGAACAGCTGGTTTTGAGAAGTTCATGCCGTAACCTAAGCCTAAGTTTCAACTAGTTCTGCCCATGTATGTAATGGAAAAAAGGTTGTTTTGTTTCTGTTACAACCCCAAATAGTTTTTCTAGATAGGGGAGGTAGAAAAAAGCTAAGGATGTTGGAGGCCAAACAGAAGGGAGGAAAAATCTGACAGGACGAGCAGCAGGGCATGATGTAGGGATAAGCCATGCCAGAATCTGTTGGAGGAAAACAGCAGAGACAACCAGACTACTTGTCTAAAGTAAGATTCTGGAATCATTCAGAATTTTGTTCTCTATATTTAATAACAACACTCAATACTTTATCACAAATGAACAGTTGGACAGAACTTGTGAAATGGAATGATTTGTCCCAGCTTTGGAAAAAAAAATGTATTTCTGTTTTGTGCAAACTTCATCACTTACCCGTTATAAGGACTTTTGGAAACCATCTGCCTGTCTTCTGGTTCTTTTTTGATAGTTTTTGCATTAATACACACTGGAGATTTTTCTTCTGTTTTTATTTCTCTTGGAGATGCTAAGAAATAAAATAATCCAAGGTAAATATCCTTTTTCTGTAACCAGTAACTAGATTCTAATTATCTGCTACCGTTAAGTTTGATTTTTCCTGGTTTAAAACACTAGCCTCTAGCTTTTATCTTACCCCTTAAACAATATGACTAGCTTTCCCTTTCTGAAAATTTAAAATCAGTAGCTTAGTAGCCTCTGCCAAACAATTTGGATTCCTATTATTTGAAATAAATGTCAGTGTTTTCAAGGTAACACATGAACCTGTTGAATTTTCAGTATTTTTTTTCATAAATTTTATTTAAAATGCGGTCTATTTTCCACATAAACCCTGAAAACTAGATAAAATGAAGCCAATTAAACATGAGCCAAGAACAGTATTCCTATTCCTTTATTTAAGAAAACTGCTCAAAGTATATCTCTCTCTCTCTGTGCGACAAAAGTATGTGAACCTCTAGGATTGTCAGTTCATTTGAAGCAGAAATTAGAGCCAGGTGTTTCACTCAATGGAATAAATCAAGTATGGAAGTATATAATGGCTTGAATAGGTTATCAATCTATTTCTAAAGAGTTCAGACTCCATCAATCCACTGTGAGGCAGATTGTCTTCAAATTCAAAACCATTGTTAACTTCCTCAAGAATGGTTGACTAACCAAGATCACAACAAAAGCAAGGCATGTAATACTCCAGGAGAACTCAAAATAATTCTGGACTGACATCTAAAGAGCTAAAGGCCTCTCTTGAATTGGCAAATGTCACGAGAGAACCATTAGGAAAATTCTGAATAACAATGACGTGCATGGCATAGATGTAAGAAGCTGGCTATTTACAATTTGTGAAAGCTCATATGGAAAAGGCTACTGAAAAAATGTTCTGTGGAGGGGTGAGACCAAAACAGAACTTTTTGTCTTGAATGAAAAGCATTCATAGTGAATCCTATTATCATATTCAATAGGTTTCAGAACATACTTAATTACCAAATTAGGTACCGTGACAAAAGCCTATTACATTATTTTGCTTGATCATTACAATAGCTTTGGAAGCAATATATAATTAAAAAGCATAAAATCTGGAGCCGATTGTGGCTGCACATAGTCAAAATGGCAACCACTAGTAAATAAAACTTACAGGGCTTGGAAGCAGGTGAAAAGCCTCCCAATGTTGAAAGAGCTGGAGTTCCATCTGGATTTAATCCTTTGGCCTTTAATTTAGCTTCCTGTAGAGCCATTTTTCTTTTTTCTACTTCCTTATCAAGCAATTCATAATTAGGCTATAAAACATAATGAGTCTAAGTCAGTTCATACCAAAATGGATACATAGATCAACTCATTAGTTAGATATTATTATTACGGTGACCTGAGTTCCTCAATGGCAAGAGTTAGATTGTTAAGATTTTATTAAATTATATTCCCCAAATATAAAATATTTTAATTTATAAAGACCTTTGGATATCTCTTGCTTGTTCTGTTGAGAAAAAAATGACCATATACTCATGGAAGAATGCATGTGTTCCAGATTCTAATTGTTGGCTTAACATCTGTCAACTCCCAGACTTTGAATCATATGTGTACTAAGGCTGGACAATGTAATTCCGTATGGACTAGGTATAATTCATATTATTTGCTCTTGTGTTTATTTTGTTCCTGTTTCTTAAAGAATTATTTTTTCTTTTTTGGTTTTTCTTCTTCTCCAGGTGATTTAGTACATTTTTACTTTGTTTCAGTATAAAGCTTTTCAACATAGTAAATTAGGTGTTTTTTTTAAAAAAAAACTAGTCTTTTCTACAATAGTAGATTCACTATTACTACTTTACTTTTCTTGAAATTATCCCCAAGTCTCCATGAATGCTGACTGATGGGATTGTGACAAGGTATAAATATAATAAACGAATAGTCAACTGGAATTCATACATTATGGGAAATAGCTACACTGTAATACTTGTAATACCATTTGTATATAGAATATTACCTTTTTCCTAGTGTAAAGCTTAAGTGTTTTTAAACATATCTCCTGAATGTCTTCTTCAGTAGTTCCAAAAAGTAAAAACCAATGAGGACGATTAGGTAAAGGAATCTAGAAGACAAAATATTACCCAAAAGATTGCAAATCTATTTTTTCCAAGACAGTATATTCCATAGATCTGAAGTCTGAGGACCCAACCAACTTCTCAAAATGTAGGCTCTTTTAGAATGGTATCTCCTGACATTAACTTCCAGGCAAGTTCATACTGAAAATCTGTTCATGAAATCTTTTCAATATTTATTTTTAATTTATTAAATGAATTTATACAGCCGCCCAACTTAAGTCGTGGTTTATAGGAATAAAACCTCAAATACAAAATCCAATATACCCATACATTCAACAACATTTAAACAAGCCATTTGATGGGCTCCATATCAACCTAGGATCTCTAGGCCCACTGGCAAAATTATGTCTTCAGGGCCTTTTGGAGGAGGATCAGGATGGAGGCCAGCCTTATCACTGCTGGGGTGAGGTTCCATAGGGAGAGAGCTGCCACAAAAGAAGCCCTTCTTCCTGATCTTACTAGGATTTCCTTGATGAAGGGGATCCATAAAATACCCACCCTTGCTAATCTGATGTAACTGGGGAAAAAACAGTCCTTCAATAACCTGGTCCCAAAGCCATATAGGGCTTTAAAGGCGATAACTAGTGCCTTAAATGGAACTCAGGAACAAATCAGCAACCAACGCAGCTCCCACAAGAGAAGTGATACATATGCAAATCTAGACTTACACACAATCATGCAGACTGCAGTATTTTGAACCAACTGAAGCTTGTAGATACATTTCAAGGGACCCTCATTTGTATGTGATTCCAATTCCTTTGGGATTGGATTCCAATTGGTTAATCCCCATTATGATTCACAGAATCAGCATGAAAAATTGAAAATATACAAAAGCTATGAGCAGAGGAAAAAAACAAATACTTACTTGAAGAGCTCTAGCAGCAAGATAGATGCAAGCACAAGCTATTGTTTCTGGTTGAAATCGAACAAATACATTGGTTCGAAGAGTGTCATTCATGTAATTCCTGAAAAATATAAACCTCAATGTGTTTCCTGTTTAAGAGATACCATGAAACCAAGCAAAGAAAGTTGGAGACTCAATCTACTTTATTGTTTTTTCTTTTATTTCAGTAATTTAGGTTCCCATTTGTCAAAGAATCTGCCATAAAGACAAAATGCCTCAAAGCCCCTGGACCACGTAACACACAGGCTCTTTTTATCTCTCTAGAACCCCATGAAAGTACAAGCTGAGTTTTGAGTTCAGTCTTTACTATTATGTGGTGCACCTCAAAGACTTAACAAAACTTTGTGCAATTGTTTTTAGTATTCTTGGAAGTGTCCATCAACTAAACTTTAGCTCCAAAAATATTAAATCACGCGACCATTTCTTTTTTAAAAAAAATAACTGAATTGTTACTGATCTGTTAATTTCATACAGATTAACATGATCTACAGCAATTTGTAGCCATCAAAAAATAAACTTATTACACTACACTACAAAAACAATGTACATCCCATTATATTGAAGGGATTGATACAAGCATGTGATTTAGTCTCCTATGGTTATCAACCAGATTCAATTTAGCATTCTGTATTTTAAAAAAATAATTAAAATATTTACAATTACTTTTAGACCATTTATGAGGCCAGAAATAGATGTGAATGACAGCTGTACACATATTTCTATAGGTACAATATAAAATTGCAGGTTAACAATTTAAACATTTCTTACAATGCAATATAGTCACTGCTAAACTACAACTAAGTAATGAAGTATTTTTCTAAAACTAGCAGGTAATCTCCAAACATGCGTACAGCCCTATTGTGAATTTTCTGTGTGGAAAGCTTCACTCATCAATATGTCTATAAATGAGACATGTGCTAGCTTTTGGCATGCACAGAGGAAAATAATCCCCCAATTAGGCAACCTCCCCCCCCAAATAAATAGATACTTGGAGGATAGAATTAAAGCTTATATGATTTACCCTAATAGGTAATGTCATAAGCACATTAACTAGGACAACAAGTATACATTTCATGATTATGTATATTGAATAGGTAGTTCTAGAATCAAATATACAAATCCTTTTGACACCCCGACAGAACTAGAAGATGCTGCCCGCTGGATATGGACCACTTCAGTAAATCTCGGCTGAGAGCTTGCACTGGATTGACTGGAGAGAGAGGCAGCCAATCAGGCCATCCTCAGATCATGAGCTGTGGTGCAGAGGGCAGAGTTCTATGACTTACCATCAGGGACTACCCTTTAATTAAAGAGTAGAAAAAAGAAAAAAGTTAAATTGAGTTCTCCAAGGAAATGCATTATGAAAGCCATGAAAATAGTAAGCAGAAAACAAGCAGCAGCACATTCCACAAGATTTTGCTTTGTTTTTTTGGTTTTTTAACTTACAGTTCATTACTTGGTATTTGGACATCGAGCTTGTTTTTTTTTCTGCTACTATTTTTCTGGCTAAGAAAGATAAAACAAGAAGGAAATAACTTACCAGGCTGTCTGGACGAGTGTTTGATTACGCTCACATTCTAAGACTTGCAAGTACATAACAATGATCTGAGGGATGAAAAACAAACAAGCAAATTAACACATTTTATTCCAATCTCACTTTGAACATAAATCAATCATAATTAGATTTTAAAGTTTTCTAGCAGCTTCTGAAAAATCAAAAGCACCCTTTCTACTGATTGCAAGTGTTATTTTTTAAAGTGTTTCTGAAGAAGGCATATATGTTTATCCTATAGTAGTGCAAATTAAAAAAAATCTTTACCTTCTCCATAATTATACATAGCATTTAATACTGGAAAGCAAACACTTTAGAAGACTCACCTTATGTGGATGCTTGACATGAACACAAAATCCCAATTCCTTCAGCACCCTCCTTTCTGCTTTGATTACTTGATTTTTGGTGTTTATGTAGTTCTGATCAAGTATCAATGGGCTTGGAGTCCTACAGTTTGTAAGAGATAGAGTCAAAACGCTTTTCTATATCGAAGACAGCAGCTTCTCTGTTTTCCCTTTCCAACCAACTAATGGCAACAGAAACCAGATTTTGAACTCCTGCAAACAAGTTTAAGCTTTAATCTTGTGCTGTCCAAGTTAACTAACAGTCATTACCTAAAACTTTATTTATCTGTAAATATTTCAAATGAGACATTTGAAAGACACTTCATTAAAAAGACAGTTGAGCTACAAGACAAGAGTCCCAACAGTTTCTCAGGGAAAATTTTCATTATCTGAAAAGGAATGTACTAGTATATACAACATTTAAATTTCCGCCGCCAGTTTCAACTCTGTAAAATAAATCTGTTATACACAGGTAAGTAAATGAAAGCCTTTAATATTTTTCCCCTGCTGTTCATAGTGAAGAAATATGTGTATGTTTATGTATGTATGTATGTATACAAAGACACAGAGACATGCACACAATTTCTTCCATTATAAAATCATCAAAAAAAAAGTGAATGTTAGAATATTTTGGACATGATGCGACACCCCAAAAAATATGGCATACTGTACTTCACTTAATCCTCTCCAAGGAAAGATTGAAGGCAAATGAGGTCCAGGCAGAAGAACATCATGGTTTCAAAATCTAAGGGACTGGTTTGGACAAAACTCAACAGCACTTTTTCATGCGGCTGTTGATAAAAATAGGATCACCAACATGATTGCCAACATCCGATGATGGATATGGCACAAGAAAAAGTTTAAAAAGCAATGACAAATAAGAAATAATATTAATTTCTATATTTCTACATTTTGAGGACAGTCTATGATTTTGGTTTATTCTCACTTTTTAACAAGCTAAAAAAATGAGAAAAGAAATATTTAAACATTGTCCATAGCATTGAAGTATATATTGTATATAATGTACAAAACAAAACGTTTAGCTTATTATGCAACTTTGCATATCACTACAATTTTTCTTACTGTTTCTCTATTTGACATTTAGATGGTCAGAGAAATATACTTTCACATCTTAGAACGTTAGGCATTCTGCTTTACTTTAATTATAGAACATTTCATATTTCACAAAAAGCTTGAGGAAAATATATTTTCTCCACTGAACTATAAAAAAATACGCACCATTGGCTCAGAAAGTGTGTCAACCTCTTACCTTTGTTACCTGCTAATAGCATAATATTCTGAACGTTACCCATTTTTAACTGGACAGAGAGAAAAGCAAATAGTACTCCTACTTTAATTAGTTATGCAGAGCCAATTGACATCATATATATCAGATTAAATTCCTATAAATACTGTTTGATTCAAATCCCATTCAAGGTAGTTTAAAGATACAGGACATCTGAAAAATAAAAAATACGGAGAAGTATACATGTCTATGTTTCAATTAACTTGTTGATGTGCAACTTAAACAGGTAAATGTTATTATGGTGCCTGCAGCTATTTGTCCTAGGACATTTTTTTAGCAAAATCTTTCTCCAAATTCGTATTATTTTTTGAGGTATTCAATTTTATACTTAAACTATTTAACTCCTAAAAATGCATGTATTTTCCCAATTTTATTGAGCTGCTTCTTACATAAACATGCATTTTTATAACCTCAATTAAATTTCAAACTGTATTTTGACCTAAAATTATGTAGTCTGTTTTTAAGGTAAACAATAAAGCTTTCCAAAAATTATAGAAATATCAAGAAGCTTATCTGTAATAAGATTTAAAATCCCTATTTGGGTAGCACTTGGAAATTGACCATATTCCTTAAGCAAAACCCATTAGTGAATTTCACTTATAAAATAAGAAGTTTGTAATTATTGTTATGAGAAAGTTCTGATAAGGAGCACAAAACTAGTGTGCAATTGAACAAATCCAGAATATTCCACTCATCCTTTGAAACATGGCAAAATAATACCTCTAGCATGGCATGGAGGGAAATAGAATATCCTAGAGGGTTTTAAGATAAATTTGTACATCATAAGGTACTACTAGGATGTGGAATGTATTTCAAGATTAAAAGACACAATAATTTAATATTTAATTTATTAATTTTGATTACTTTAATTAAATAATTACTACCTAGAAATTTTAATAGAAATACTTTTTATATTTCCTTTCTCTAAATAGATTAATTCATCAGATTATAAAAGGCAAGATAATTTTTACATATTTATATCTGAGAAATATGTTAATTGAATAATGAGAACAGTTAAAGCACTCATTTTAGAGGAATATATGAAATGAAACAATTGCTCAACTGCTTCCAATATTATTCTGGCATTGGAATACAAATGATGTACCCAACTGTAATACATTTAACCAATTCAGAAGATAAATTAAATGCATTTCACTGGAAGCAAACTGCAAAACTGGATTATCTTGAAAGTAAATACAAAGGACAGCCTGCAAGTCTGTTAAGTATCTAATTATCTGTGTAAAACTCTAAAGAATTATTTACAATTTGAAATATTGTCCTGAACATACAACTAGGGATCCAATTATTAACTCAATATCTCTTTCTCAATCTAAAATTATGTGCCATACTTAATTTTAAATTTGTATGTCTGTGTGTATACACACAGAGACAGGTACATGCCCAAAGGAATACCTTTTCGCTTGCTTGCATTTGTTGTGTAACTGAGCCTTAAGAAAAACACACACACACTTTAATCAAATTTTTATACCCTCCCTCCCCCCCATAAAGAGACTGTGCTACAATTTTAACTTAGTGCTTGCTCTGATGAGAACTGTGTGATTGCTTACAATTACAAGCAGGATATGTAGCAATAAAATTTAGGCTTAAAATACTGCCCCATAGTGCTTTACATAACTTTCTGGGCAGTTTACAATCTAGAAGCATTATTTGTATATCGCCCCAACAATACGGTCCTCATTTTAACCGACCTCGGAAGGATGGAAAGGCTGAATCAACCGTGAGCCCTGTCAGGATTGAACTCCAGGCTGTTGGCACAGTTTACCTGCAAAATTGCACTTTAATCACTACACCACCAGGATTTTGTTTATATTTATAGATTTACAGAAATAAACCCTAAGGTCAATGAGGGGCATTTAGGACCAAATTATATAAAGACAGATACTTAGCTTTTTTGTCTATTTGTATGTTAGCAAGTCTCCCATTCTTGATATGTCTAAATATCTGTTTTATATTTCTTCCTGCTAAATATCACCTATATACACGTATACAGATTTAGCATTTCAAGGAATTTGGCTTCTCACATCTTAGCCTTCTTTATGTCCCATTTTATGTATTGTTGATAAAACACAGAAAAGAAAGTAGAATCCATATGCTATAAATTTCAGGAAAGTCACATTCTTAAATCAGAGATGTCTTTTTTGGAATAGTTCTGGTTTGATTAAAAAACGTGGAACTCTCAATACATTTTTTGCATTTAATTTGTTAGAATAAATGCAAATATTGAAATTATGTAACATACCCATATTTTATTCTGTAAACTAAACCATTCATATCTATTATAACAGCACCTTCCAAGGTGCTCATGCAATATTTTAATACCACGTAAGTGATGTGACTGGATTTTCATATGCAAAACATGTATTTTTTCATTTGCTAAGCATGCATATTTACTTTTACTTTACAAATGCACCTTTTATTCTTCCAAAATCAAAAAGAATCTTATTCCAAATGAAACAAAGAAAGTACACATTTCGCAGTATCACTGAAAACTTATGCTAATTATATTCTTAAAGATTAACTTCCACATTCAATTGATTTGTTTCATAAAGGAAAATACTTGCATTTCAAAATAATCTGTAGAAAAATATCATTCAATAAAAAGCTACACACTGAGAGTAGTCCATTGCACATAGAAACACTGTTGTAAAGGTGAAAAATTCACCTAGGATCCTCAAATTCAGCAGAATAAATTATTATGAAATAAAGTTATTCAGCACAACAGATAAGATTTGTAGTTAAAATTCACACATACACACACACTTTACTAGTTTCCAAAAACCTGGACAGCAAAGATAAAAGCTTAACCCAAGACACAGGAGTTCTTCCAAATTGTTCACCAATGGCCAACCTGTCAGTCCCCGGTTCCAGTGACCTATTCTGAGAGCACTGGCTTCTCCTTGGGGATTTTCCATACGTCACTCACTGTTGCCATGACGACAGCTTCATCTCTATGAACCACTCCACATCACCCAGGCTTTGGTAAATGTAGCTGGTCGCTGTATAGTCGGTTGCAAGGGAAAAAAGAGCTAAAGTTAATAACGTGTACAACTGATTTGTTTGTAAAATTGTAACACGCACAGAAATATACTTACATCCTGTTAAAAAAAATGAACCTGCATGCCAAATTTTAAGTTTCCATAACCAGATTTGTTGCAGAATTTTCAAAGAATATTTAAATTAGATTAATTAATTAGAAATGTAAATGAAGTATAGTTTCCCGATACAACACTGACACCTAAAGCAGTATGCCAATGTCTGGAATGTTAGTTTATAAGCTTTAAAAAATAATTAAAATATATACAAATTGTTAAATCAGAACCTAGATAAAATACTCGACTCACTGGCTATGATATATTTGCTTCACTTGAAATCAAAAGATAGCTCAAAGTGCCCTTTCTGCATTTGCACTCAAAATGAAATTTTCATTGTTTATTTTAAGAAAACACTTGGAAAGTAAATAAGCAAGATTAAGCCAATGTATTTTGCCAATATAGGCAATGAATATTTTTTATTCAGCATAAATACCTAAATATATCACAAACATTTATGTTAGAATGGCCCATTATCCTATAACATACAACTTCTTGGGAACTTCACTAAATTTCAAGAAATCACTGAAATCATCTTTATCACTTACTAAATTCACTCAGACAAAATTTATGGATTAAAACAAGGAAACAATCTAGAAACTATAAAGTATTTCTTTAAAGATTTCCTAAGCTTTTATTTTTTAAAAGCTCCCTAGTTCAAAGCTTATTTTGTATTAAAAACTGAGCAGTTCCACAACAAAACAGTTCTAAATCAATCACTAAAGCATGCAAAAGCATGATGAGCAACAGGTGTGGTTCATGTTCCTAAGTCCAGATGGCTTTCAGGCTTCATTTGCCTATGATACTATTAAAACAGGTATCTGCTCTACATCAAACTTCTGTCAACTGTCGAAACCAATAATACTAATGTCAATTTGAAAACAATTAAATGTAGATATTCCAAAGTACTATTTTAGATAAAATATATTAGCTTCTACCAATGACTCTATCAATACTTTAACTGGAATTCAGATTTAGTAAGTCACCATAACAAAGTCTGATGCAACATAAAATAAACAACAAAACAAGTACCAACTTAATGCCTTAAGATTTCCAATTTCTCCTCAATTAGTTATTAAACACGTTAGACCTCTAACCTTACTTACAAAGGAGTAAACCAGCTAAATAAACTATAATCTCCACACCATTTTAAAAAACCGTACATTAACAATTCAAAGATCCCTCAACCTACTAAAGTAACCCTGTGCAACTGAAACCTCCACAAGTTTGAGACTACACTGTGTGAGAGAGTACAAGTAAACAAAATACACAGGTATGTTTCAGGTAATAAAAAGTGGAGCTGGCCTTACCTTTTTATTCTTAGTTGGCGTAAGTGATGGAAAACATTGATCACATCTCTTATCCGACGGGGAGCTTCTTCAATTTTGGAAGCAAGATTAATGCAGGCCATAGCCACAATCTGGAAAAAAAAAAGCCCATTTTTCTGTGAAAACGGCCCTTGAACCTGACTCTCATATATATATATATATGGATTTGGTGGGAAGGGGGAAGGTGTTTTGGAATGATTTTGTGCTTTGCAGTAATATATATATATTACTGCAAAGCACA